TTGTCACTGATATTGACATATGTTTCTGTCATCCCTTTCTTGTTGCGACCTTTTCAATTCATTTCAATATTGTCATACCATTTTTCGCTTGTTCAGGGGCCCAATTATTGTTTACTGCCTTCGTCAATTTGATCATCATCAAATGCGTATACTTGAGCATTCTCCATAACTCCTTAATAAGCTCCCAATTGAAATACACGCTCGAAATGTTGAGCTTGTCTCTCATTTGTGTCCACTAGATGTGGGAAAAATCTGGATAACTCCTCAAACTTTCGCTCATAATCAGTAGGCGTTATGTTCTCTTGCTTCAACGTAAAAAATTGTGCTTCCCTCTTGTCTAACACTCCAAATTTTTCTTACTATTTTTCATATGGACCTAAACTTAATATTGATCATTTAACAAATGAAATAGTCAATGTCTAAATTTGCCGTCACACTAAAAGTTCGAAGGTTGAAGTGATAAACTCAACCCTCTTATTTGCATAAATGATTTTTTTCCTTACGTGCACTTTTAGAATTTACCAAAAAGTTTATCAAAAACTTTTTGGGTCAATATTTAAGTATTTTAGAAGTTGATAAAATATATCAAATATTATACTCATTTTGTAGCTCGTATTAAATAAAATAAATTGGGCTCAAGAAGAAATGATTTTTGAACTATTTATATCTGAATTATCTTAATAGAAAGAAAAGTAATCTAAATTCTATATTTCATTAATAAAATAAATAATAATAATGATGATGATGATGATGAAAAGAAAACTTTCAATTCAATTCGTTACAGGTACTTGGAATTTGAAAGGGATATTATAAATTAAACATTATTAATTAATTTTTTTGATAATAATTAATCCCTTAAAACTCTTAATTACTTCTTATATGTTAGGAATTTAATTACGAAATTGAAAAGTCATTTGTTTTGTTGGAGTTACGGGGTGTGAGAATTTTATATATATGGTTAAAGTTCTCTTTTAAAACATCAATAACTCCATTGCTTACAATTTGACACAGCACACTTTGTTAGAAATAAATTTCCCTTACTGTTATTCTACAATCATATTTTTAGATTCATTTGGTATTAAAAATGAGGTAAGAATACATCGTGCAAAAGGATAAATTCTTATTTTTTGATGTTTGAATAATTTTTGCCATAAAATTGTAACGCCCCAATTTTACATTAAACACCGGAACGTTACGAAAACTCATTTTTCTTTAATTTAAAAATGCGGAACTATATAAAATTCTTCAATAAACAAATAATTGTAACGTTTAAATTAAAATTATTGAAAGCGTATCTAACCATAAACATAAACTCCTAAGTAATTCAAATAATGCGTTCTAAATTAAAATAAACAAATTGC